AGTATGTGGCCCCTCTACGTCCCGCTCCACACATTGCCCAGTCAGAAGTGGTGACCAGTATGTGGCCCCTCTACGTCCCGCTCCACACATTGCCCAGTCAGAAGTGGTGACCAGTATGTGGCCCCTCTACGTCCTGCTCCACACATGGTCCCCCCACTCACTCACCCTGCTCCTCTACGTCCTGCTCCACACATGGTCCCCCCACTCACTCACCCTGCTCCTCTACGTCCTGCTCCACACATGGTCCCCCACCCACTCATCCTGCTCCTCTACGTCCTGCTCCACACATGGTCCCCCACCCACTCATCCTGCTCCTCTACGTCCCGCTCCACACATGGCCAAGTCAGAAGTGGTGACCAGTATGTGGCCCCTCTACGTCCCGCTCCACACATGGCCCAGTCAGAAGTGGTGACCAGTATGTGGCCCCTCTACGTCCCGCTCCACACATTGCCCAGTCAGAAGTGGTGACCAGTATGTGGCTCCTCTACGTCCCGCTCCTCTACGTCCCGCTCCACACATTGCCCAGTCAGAAGTGGTGACCAGTATGTGGCCCCTCTACGTCCCGCTCCACACATTGCCCAGTCAGAAGTGGTGACCAGTATGTGGCCCCTCTACGTCCCGCTCCACACATTGCCCAGTCAGAAGTGGTGACCAGTATGTGGCCCCTCTACGTCCCGCTCCACACATTGCCCAGTCAGAACTGGTGACCAGTATGTGGCTCCTCTACGTCCTGCTCCACACATTGCCCAGTCAGAACTGGTGACCAGTATGTGGCTCCTCTACGTCCTGCTCCACACATTGCCCAGTCAGAACTGGTGACCAGTATGTGGCTCCTCTACGTCCTGCTCTACACATTGCCCAGTCAGAAGTGGTGACCAGTATGTGGCCCCTCTACGTCCCGCTCCACACATTGCCCCGTCAGAAGTGGTGACCAGTATGTGGCCATCATTGTCATCACAGTTGCTGACAGGCTTATGATATTATCAAAATTTTCTGTTGTTTTAAATTTTAGAAATGTGAAGTAGGAGGCATTATATATTTTAACTATTCAAGTTATCCGTACATGTGATTCATGTGATCACTCACATGACATGAACATTTACTTGGAGTACATGCGCATCAAAGTGTCCAGCGGTGATAAATTTGGAAAGGTAACGATTTCTTGAAAGCAAACTTATGATGTCCTTACACAAAAGTAATTATCATATATTGAAGTGACTAAGATTACATTTAGAGATGATAAAATATATGTACCAATTTTCTTTTAGAAAAGTTAGGATGTCCTTAAAGAAAAGTAATTATCTTGTTTTGTAGAGAACATGTAAGTCTCCATTGTGTAATTGAAGGAAAGTATTGATGTCATCAACATGCTTACACCTCATGATGCCTACACGCACACCTACATCTGACACCTCACCTACACTAAAGCCAACCCTACGCTACCCTAGGCCACCCCACCACACCGTGCCACGCCACGCCACGCCACGCCACTTCACGCCACCACACCACACCACACCACACCACACCACACCACACCACACCACACCTTGCTCACTTGGATGTTCAGATGCATATAATTATAGTTGCATCATCTGTAAGTCAGTTATCCACTTTTACACCTGGAGCTCTGTTTGGATGGTGATATCTTCCCTTGGGTTGATTTCATTGTGAATGGGCAGATATGGACTAAGGGCTTTCTGCAACAGGAAATATGGCTGTTTATTCTTCTACATTCTAACTGATAAGTGGTAATACATGAATGTGTTTTGGTAATGTCCACACAAATACTCCTCCCGGAGCTGACTCCTTTAGCAAATTTACATTTTGTATTGATCAGACAAGTTGCCTCCGAGGACTGAATATGGAAGCAATACACTCAGGGATATGTCAGTCTGATAAATGTCATATTTTGGATTGTACAATAGTATCTTGATGAAAATAGAAAGAGACTTGTTTAGGAATTATGTGTTAAATAAGAAAATGTTGCAAATAAATACTTGGGAGTTGGGTTATGACTGTCAATGTGGCAGTGACTGTATTCATTGAAGTGTCTATTGGGGACTGTAACTCACCATGAGGAAGTCATTGATCTTCAGTTATGACAAATGATGTCATTTGTTTTGATTTTTAAGCAATTTTTTAAACCTAAACTATGTTGATAAATTGTTGGCTGCCTTAATCATTCAAGTGTGTAGTGAGTTACAACCATTTTGCTGAAGCTAATGCTAAAAGTATGGATGAATTTGTTTTGTCTTCATTGAATAATAATGTGAAAATAACAATTTTGTATTAGATGATGGACAGGTTGCTTGTCAATGCTCTTCAATCATTGACGTTAATTAATTCTGGGGCAGTAGAGTCATTTTATCAAAATGGGTTTAAGAGGAGCAGATATGTCATTATTGAAGGACATTGGAAAATGAACATGTTAACAGTGTAGTGGGGAATATAGGTCTATATCTGTACTCTGTGTGACAGAAGATGAACACATGTTAACAGTGTAGTGGGGAATATAGGTCTATATCTGTACTCTGAGTGACAGAAGATGAACACATGTTAACAGTGTAGTGGGGAATATAGGTCTACATCTATTTCTGTAAGGACTGTCTTGTAATGACTCATGCAGTCAACAATGTAGAAATATTGGATAATGATAACATTGAATTTAATCACAAAAAACAATAATTCTTTGTGCCATTGAGTATTTACTCACAAATGATCACTCACATTGGGTATTGGTAGTTTTCTTTGCGTATTCAATATGTTTTAAGTTCCTTGGTTCCAGTCTGTCTATTGGATGATTTTACACCAATGAGTGTGCTGTAAGTGCTTATCTCCACATTAACTGACAGCCATCACAATTGTTTACTGTACCATACCCGCTGTAAAAATAAGATTTCTTAGCCTGATTATATTCACACTATCTCTTTATCAAGGACATTAACAATCCCACAACGCAGTGTAGTGTTCTATTGGTATAATTTGTTGGAGTTATGACAAGCCTGGGGCTAGTGACTCGGCCTGTGATATCTGTGGGGCTGGTGACTAGCCATGATTGGCTCACTCACTCACCCTTTCACTCACTTACTCACCCACTCACTCACCCTTTCACTCACTCACTCACTCATTCACCCTTTCACTCACTCAGTTACTCACTCACTCACCCTTTCACTCACTCACTCATTCACCCTTTCACTCACTAACTCACTCATTCACCCTTTCACTCACTCACTCACTCACCCACCCTCTCACTCACCCACTCACTCACCCTTTCACTCACCCACTCACTCACCCTTTCACTCACTCACTCACTCACTCATTCACCCACCCTTTCACTCACTCACCCACCCACCCTTTCACTCACTCACTCACCCCTTTACTTACTCACCCTTTCACTCTCACTCACTCACTCACTCACTCACTCACTCACTCACTCACTCACTCACTCACTCACCCACCCTCTCACTCACTCACTCACTCACTGGAGGATGTCCATCTTCAGTAAGACCCCCTCTCTCCCATGGAATCAATACGGAGGGTAAGCAGCTGATCCTGCAGAGTTCCTGGGACATCTCCCTGATTAACGAGAGGCCCGTGATTACCAGCGCCACTGGACATGCAACAATACATGCTTGTTGCACTTGCCCCATATAGTACAGTTGGTTTGGAATTTCAGTACAAGTATTTAATGGGATATTAAACATTTACATGCTATTTATGTACACAATTTGAACTGGGGAAGATTTATTGGGTAAAGATCCGTGTACGGTGAAATGTGGCGGCAGTCTAATCTCAATCAATTCCCTTAAAGGGCTTAAAGTAGAAACCGGGCGATGTCAGTTGGATTCATGGAATGACAGTTTATGATTATTGTCGGATTTTATCATTGCTACATGCGAGTCTGTACACGGGGTATAGGAGATGGGGCTGTTTGGCCCAGCCTGACACAGGGGATAGGAGATGGGGCTGTTTGGCCCAGCCTGACACAGGGGAGAGGAGATGGGGCTGTTTGGCCCAGCCTGACACAGGGGATAGGAGATGGGGCTGTTTGGCCCAGCCTGACACAGGGGATAGGAGATGGGGCTGTTTGGCCCAGCCTGACACAGGAGATAGGAGATGGGGCTGTTTGGCCCAGCCTGACACAGGGGATAGGAGATGGGGCTGTTTGGCCCAGCCTGACACAGGAGATAGGAGATGGGGCTGTTTGGCCCAGCCTGACACAGGGGATAGGAGATGGGGCTGTTTGGCCCAGCCTGACACAGGAGATAGGAGATGGGGCTGTTTGGCCCAGCCTGACACAGGGGATAGGAGATGGGGCTGTTTGGCCCAGCCTGACACAGGAGATAGGAGATGGGGCTGTTGTTTGACAAAGTCTGACACAGGGGATAGGAGATGGGGCTGTTTGGCCCAGCCTGACACAGGGGATAGGAGATGGGGCTGTTGTTCAATACAATCCTACACAAGGTCAAGGAAAGATAGACCACCACAATACAAGTGTACACTTGCATCTTATACCCCTTGAATCTAATAACAAAAACTCAGTGAGAACTTTTGTGGTAACTATGGTTACCCTACACTTGCTGCGATGTTTGTTTTATGTGATTAATGATATGTTACATGTTATGCCATTTAAACTTAATCCCCCATTACCGGGTCAATGAATTATGCGATCCTATCTGTTGGCTATATCAAGGAGTGACATTTGCTGGATTATTGATTAAGGACGGATGATTGGGTATGGTATTTAGATGCGGCAACTGAGGAAATCAGCTTCCAGCATCGCTGTCTCCATGTAGGACCCGAAATGGTTCAACTTTTTCTCAGTTGTCATTCCAGACGGAGGAAAAAGAGGCCCGGATCGTGCGTCCTAAGCCCATAATTCTGTTGCTATTTTCTGTATCAATTACTGCGTCGGTAGGAAGCAGCTGACTGTCCGGACATTCCTCGGGACTTGCTCCTTCACTTATGTGGACTCGGCCACAAGTCTGAGATCAGACTGAGTCATACAGTAATACTATGTGCATAATTTGTGCCTCTTCGTCAGCCCATGCAACAGAATGGAATAGATTCTCCCTGGGCTGGAGTAAGACACATGGTATATTATTGATGCTGTTCGGCCTGTTTGATCAGGGCTAGTTTTGCCTGACTGGAGCCACATGAATGTCACCACTTGCTTTCTCACCTGTCGACCTCGTTAACTCAGGTAAGCCTATAACAGGGTCACTGTTAAATGGAAGTTAAATGGATTGATATGGATTGATAACGGTGTTAGAACCCACACCAAAATGTCGCTCTTAATTGTAATAAGAAGTTGTTCATCGATAAATTCTTATCCGTACTTAAATGGATTTTCTGTTTAGTGTTTGAAGTTATAAGGGGTAGATTTGGTTGATTTTCTGAGTCTTGCTTTCTCACCTGTTGACCTTGTTAACTCAGGTAAATCTTTAACTGGTCATATGATAGTTTAAGAGATAGTCTTAAAGACAGAAGTTACAAGGATCAGAATTGGGTCATTGGCTGTGTTTTCCCTCTCACTCGTTGACTTCATGAACTCATGCAAATATAATCCTTCGTTACTGTTTATATAAAGCGGATGAATAGTGCTCTTACTTATTTACAGTGCTACGTGATAGCTTGTGTAAGCTTCTGAAGTTAGTTTTGACTCTTGACATGCAGTTATAATTCCCTTGCCTTGCTATGTTACTCAGCATTCAGCGAGTACTTTGTATTGGCACATAGAATCATGCATCTCTGTATCCCTAGAAATGTTGAGTTGTGTACGCATGAGATTAACGATCAGGTGGGATTAACACTGGTTACAGTGTAGAGCCTGGCGGTTTTCTTTGTTTGTTTGTTGTTAATGCCCCACTCTGCAATATTCCAACTATATGATGGCGGTCTGTAAATAATTAAATCTGAACCAGACAATCCAGTGATTGACATTATGAGCATCGATCCATGCAATTGGAATACGATGGCATGCATCAACCAAGTCAGTGAGCCTGACCACCTGATCCCATTAGTTACCGCTTACCACAAGCATAGCCGCCCTTTATGGCGAGAATGGTGTGCTGAAAACCTATTCTACCCTGGATCTTCACGGGTCAGGGCCTGGCTGATTGTGTGGTGTTATAAATTATCATGGATCGGTGCTCATGATATCATCCACTGGTTTGTTTGGTTCTAACTTGATTTCTTACAGGCTGCTCCTATATTGCTTGGACATAAAATAATGTCACTTCACTCACCGTTAACTAGATACCTAATGCTGTGTTAAAGGGGTATGTGAACTAGCCATGAAAATTGTGGTATTAGGCAATTTTGATGAAGAAGAGCTTAGTTAAGTAAGAGCAGTTTCCTGTGTGGACTTGTGTGTGTTTACACAGGATGATATGGTGTTACTTGTACAGGTGATCGAAGATACATAAAATCACTGTGATAGATATACTATACTTACCTAGGTGACAGCAGCTGGTTCACATTGTCACTGGTTTACCTGTTATGTCGTTAACTCAGGTAACTTGAGTGCCATCTGATGCTCTAGTGATACAGGTGAGGGCTGTGGTGTGAATTTTACTTAGTAGCAGTTTATACTTATGTACTTATATATACATGTGTCAGGTAGAGCGTGTAGATGTCATCAAAACCTCCATTGATGGGCACAGGTAAATGGCCAAATCCTCCATCGATGGACACGGGTACATGGCCAAATCCTCCATCGATGGACACAGGTAAATGGCCAGATCCTCAATCGATGGACACAGGTAAATGGCCAGATCCTCCATCGATGGACACAGGTACATGGCCAGATCCTCCATTGATGGACACAGGTACATGGCCAGATCCTCCATCGATGGACACAGGTACATGGACAGATCCTCCATCGATGGACACAGGTAAAAGGCCAGATCCTCCATTGATGGACACAGGTAAATGGCCAGATCCTCCATTGATGGACACAGGTACATGGCCAAATCCTCTATCGATGGACACAGGTACATGGCCAGATCCTCCATTGATGGACACGGGTACATGGCCAAATCCTCCATCGATGGACACAGGTAAATGGCCAGATCCTCAATCGATGGACACAGGTAAATGGCCAGATCCTCCATCGATGGACACAGGTACATGGCCAGATCCTCCATTGATGGACACAGGTACATGGCCAGATCCTCCATCGATGGACACAGGTACATGGACAGATCCTCCATCGATGGACACAGGTAAAAGGCCAGATCCTCCATTGATGGACACAGGTACATGGCCAGATCCTCCATCGATGGGCACAGGTACATGGCCAGATCCTCCATCGATGGACACAGGTAAATGGCCAGATCCTCCATTGATGGACACAGGTACATGGCCAGATCCTCCATCGATGGACACAGGTAAAAGGCCAGATCCTCCATTGATGGACACAGGTACATGGCCAGATCCTCCATCGATGGACACAGGTAAATGGCCAGATCCTCCATTGATGGACACAGGTACATGGCCAAATCCTCTATCGATGGACACAGGTACATGGCCAGATCCTCCATTGATGGACACAGGTACATGGCGAAATCCTCCATCGATGGGCACAGGTAGATGGCCAGATCCTCCATTGATGGACACAGGTACATGGCCAGATCCTCCATTGATGGACACAGGTAAATGGCCAGATCCTCCATTGATGGACACAGGTACATGGCCAGATCCTCCATTGATGGACACAGGTAAATGGCCAGATCCTCCATTGATGGACACAGGTACATGGCCAAATCCTCTATCGATGGACACAGGTACATGGCCAGATCCTCCATTGATGGACACAGGTACATGGCCAAATCCTCCATCGATGGGCACAGGTAAATGGCCAGATCCTCCATTGATGGACACAGGTACATGGCCAGATCCTCCATCGATGGACACAGGTACATGGCCAGATCCTCCATCGATGGACACAGGTACATGGCCAGATCCTCCATTGATGGACACAGGTACATGGCCAAATCCTCCATTGATGGACACAGGTACATGGCCAGATCCTCCATCGATGGGCACAGGTACATGGCCAAATCCTCCATCGATGGACCAAGGTACATGGCCAGATCCTCCATTGATGGACACAGGTAAATTGCCAGATCCTCCATTGATGGACACAGGTAAATTGCCAGATCCTCCATTGATGGACACAGGTACATGGCCAGATCCTCCATCGATGGGCACAGGTAAATGGCCACAATGTAATACCTGTACAGGAGGTGACGAGGTAATTAAGGCAACACCTGATCCTGTTATTGTGCGTACCTCCGCATAGACACAGGGTCACCGGTCTCTGCTGTTGGGTTCATCTTCATTAAGCTGATAAGGCTCGGATTCCTCAGTCCGTTTGACTACAATATTAGTCAGTCATACCAGTCAATCACTGAAAGTGATTCTAACTTACGTATTATCATTTTCATACTTCTTTCATACGTACTGTTAATACATTTTGGTTAATAATAATGACAAGTGAGGATGTAAATATTGCTTTACACTTCATCAACATTGTCACAGCTATCTGATGATGATGATGATGATATAAATATTGCTTTACATTTCATCAGCATTGTCACAGCTATCTGATGATGATGATGATATAAATATTGCTTTACACTTCATCAGCATTGTCACAGCTATCTGATGATGATGATGATGATGATGATGATGATGTGTTGAGTATCATATTGCTTATAATAAGAGTCACTGGTTTGTCTGGTCCAGATTAGATTATTTACAGGCTGCTATTATAGAGCTTGAATATTGCTGAGTGTGGTGTTATGAACAAACAAACAAACAAAATTAAGTTTCACCTCAGTTTGAAATTAAGAATTGGAGTAAAAGAAGTCCAGGGGCCATGTTGTGACCCGATTGTTAAACATACGTTTAAGGGTCCAAGTTGATTCAACACTGAAGCAGGAAACCCTGAGGACCCAGGGACCCCCCTTAATGTTCACCACTGATCACCGTGCTGCAGCTAATGAAGGACATCCGGTGGGTGTAATCAGGGATGTCCTTGTACTGCGATTACCATGGTCACTGTTTCAGTGAATACCTTACTGTCACATGTGATGACATTTGACCTGGATTCAGACCAGGATGTCTTGAGGACGTCTGATGAGGATGCTGGATGATGTTGACATGGTTGCGAGTGTTGTATTTGCTGTGGTGGGAAAACTGTGTGTGTCTGTGATGTGGGTCTCCACTCCGCCAGGCTTGGAGGAAGACGAGCAGGTACATATGTGTGCTGCCTAACATTACCAATCATTAAGACAGCACCCGAGGGGTCACAATCTTGTGCTGCAGTTGGGTTGATGAATTGCTGACTGTATGTGTTTTTATGCTGATGTCAGCAATTTTACAGCTGTAACACTGTAGGGAGTTAAACCAGTGTAATGTAACATTGTAGGGAGTTAAACCAGTGTAATGTAACACTGTAGGGAGTTAAACCAGTGTAATGTAACATTGTAGGGAGTTAAACCAGTGTAATGTAACACTGTAGGGAGTTAAACCAGTGTAATGTAACACTGTAGGGAGTTAAACCAGTGTAATGTAACATTGTAGGGAGTTAAACCAGTGTAATGTAACACTGTAGGGAGTTAAACCAGTGTAATGTAACACTGTAGGGAGTTAAACCAGTGTAATGTAACATTGTAGGGAGTTAAACCAGTGTAATGTAACATTGTAGGGAGTTAAACCAGTGTAATGTAACATTGTAGGGAGTTAAACCAGTGTAATGTAACATTGTAGGGAGTTAAACCAGTGTAATGTAACACTGTACGGAATTAAACCAGTGTAATGTAACATTGTAGGGAGTTAAACCAGTGTAATGTAACATTGTAGGGAGTTAAACCAGTGTAATGTAACACTGTAGGGAGTTAAACCAGTGTAATGTAACATTGTAGGGAGTTAAACCAGTGTAATGTAACATTGTAGGGAGTTAAACCAATGTAATGTAACATTGTAGGGAGTTAAACCAGTGTAATGTAACATTGTAGGGAGTTAAACCAGTGTAATGTAACACTGTACGGAATTAAACCAGTGTAATGTAACATTGTAGGGAGTTAAACCAGTGTAATGTAACATTGTAGGGAGTTAAACCAGTGTAATGTAACACTGTAGCCAGTCAAACCAATGTAATGTAACACTGTAACCAGTCAAACCAATGTAATGTAACACTGTAGCCGGTCAAACCAATGTAATGTAACACTGTAGCCAGTCAAACCAATGTAATGTAACACTGTAGCCAGTCAAACCAATGTAATGTAACTCTGTAGCCAGTCAAACCAATGTAATTTAACACTGTAGCCGGTCAAACCAATGTAATGTAACACTGTTACCAGTCAAACCAATGTAATGTAACACTGTAGCCAGTCAAACCAATGTAATGTAACACTGTAGCCGGTCAAACCAATGTAATTTAACACTGTAGCCGGTCAAACCAATGTAATGTAACACTGTAGCCAGTCAAACCAATGTAATGTAACACTGTAGCCAGTCAACCCAATGTAATGTAACACTGTAGCCAGTCAAACCAATGTAATTTAACACTGTAGCCAGTCAAACCAATGTAATGTAACACTGTAGCCAGTCAAACCAATGTAATGTAACACTGTAGCCAGTCAAACCAATGTAATGTAACACTGTAGCCAGTCAAACCAATGTAATGTAACACTGTAGCCAGTCAAACCAATGTAATGTAACACTGTAGCCGGTCAAACCAATGTAATTTAACACTGTAGCCGGTCAAACCAATGTAATGTAACACTGTAGCCAGTCAAACCAATGTAATGTAACACTGTAGCCAGTCAAACCAATGTAATGTAACACTGTAGCCAGTCAAACCAATGTAATTTAACACTGTAGCCAGTCAAACCAATGTAATGTAACACTGTAGCCAGTCAAACCAATGTAATGTAACACTGTAGCCAGTCAAACCAGTGTAATGTAACACTGTAGCCGGTCAAACCAATGTAATGTAACACTGTAGCCAGTCAAACCAATGTAATTTAACACTGTAGCCGGTCAAACCAATGTAATGTAACACTGTAGCCGGTCAAACCAATGTAATGTAACACTGTAGCCAGTCAAACCAATGTAATGTAACACTGTAGCCAGTCAAACCAATGTTATTTAACACTGTAGCCAGTCAAACCAATGTAATGTAACACTGTAGCCAGTCAAACCAATGTAATGTAACACTGTAGCCGGTCAAACCAATGTAATTTAACACTGTAGCCGGTCAAACCAATGTAATGTAACACTGTAGCCAGTCAAACCAATGTAATGTAACACTGTAGCCAGTCAAACCAATGTAATGTAACACTGTAGCCAGTCAAACCAATGTAATGTAACACTGTAGCCAGTCAAACCAATGTAATGTAACTCTGTAGCCAGTCAAACCAATGTAATTTAACACTGTAGCCGGTCAAACCAATGTAATGTAACACTGTTACCAGTCAAACCAATGTAATGTAACACTGTAGCCAGTCAAACCAATGTAATGTAACACTGTAGCCGGTCAAACCAATGTAATTTAACACTGTAGCCGGTCAAACCAATGTAATGTAACACTGTAGCCAGTCAAACCAATGTAATGTAACACTGTAGCCAGTCAACCCAATGTAATGTAACACTGTAGCCAGTCAAACCAATGTAATTTAACACTGTAGCCAGTCAAACCAATGTAATGTAACACTGTAGCCAGTCAAACCAATGTAATGTAACACTGTAGCCAGTCAAACCAATGTAATGTAACACTGTAGCCAGTCAAACCAATGTAATGTAACACTGTAGCCAGTCAAACCAATGTAATGTAACACTGTAGCCGGTCAAACCAATGTAATTTAACACTGTAGCCGGTCAAACCAATGTAATGTAACACTGTAGCCAGTCAAACCAATGTAATGTAACACTGTAGCCAGTCAAACCAATGTAATGTAACACTGTAGCCAGTCAAACCAATGTAATTTAACACTGTAGCCAGTCAAACCAATGTAATGTAACACTGTAGCCAGTCAAACCAATGTAATGTAACACTGTAGCCAGTCAAACCAGTGTAATGTAACACTGTAGCCGGTCAAACCAATGTAATGTAACACTGTAGACAGTCAAACCAATGTAATTTAACACTGTAGCCGGTCAAACCAATGTAATGTAACACTGTAGCCGGTCAAACCAATGTAATGTAACACTGTAGCCAGTCAAACCAATGTAATGTAACACTGTAGCCAGTCAAACCAATGTTATTTAACACTGTAGCCAGTCAAACCAATGTAATGTAACACTGTAGCCAGTCAAACCAATGTAATGTAACACTGTAGCCGGTCAAACCAATGTAATTTAACACTGTAGCCGGTCAAACCAATGTAATGTAACACTGTAGCCAGTCAAACCAATGTAATGTAACACTGTAGCCAGTCAAACCAATGTAATGTAACACTGTAGCCAGTCAAACCAATGTAATGTAACACTGTAACCAGTCAAACCAATGTAATGTAACACTGTAGCCAGTCAAACCAGTGTAATGTAACACTGTAACCAGTCAAACCAATGTAATGTAACACTGTAGCCGGTCAAACCAATGTTATTTAACACTGTAGCCAGTCAAACCAATGTAATGTAACACTGTAGCCAGTCAAACCAATGTAATGTAACACTGTAGCCAGTCAAACCAATGTAATGTAACACTGTAGCCAGTCAAACCAATGTAATGTAACACTGTAACCAGTCAAACCAATGTAATGTAACACTGTAGCCGGTCAAACCAATGTAATGTAACACTGTAGCCAGTCAAACCAATGTAATGTAACACTGTAGCCAGTCAAACCAATGTAATGTAACACTGTAGCCGGTCAAACCAATGTAATTTAACTCTGTAGCCAGTCAAACCAATGTAATGTAACACTGAAGTCAAACCAATGCTGCCTCTAGGGATCAGGGGCCAGAATGGGTCTCGGTACCTTATGCTTGCAGAAGCCAACAAAATGGACATCGGTTAGACTCTGGCTTGATTGGATGAGTGTCGTGTTTGTGTTATCAGCCACATGTTTGTCAGACCCTCATTAATGTGTCCTCATTAATGTTCGACAGCTGTCTTATAGCTTGAACATAGTGGATGCAGAATTATACGACTGTCAGACCAGTGGTTGATCTCATGAAGCCATGCCATTGAAGCATGACAATCATCGTTCAGGGTGAATGCAATATAGTCAGATCTCTGCTGGGGTATTGGGTGGTTGCCGACTGTTTATGTCTCTACTGTCATGATCACACCATCCCACAGCCAGCTCTTACAACCCAGGGTCACCTCCGCAGTGTACTGGATAGAGCAGCTGCCTGTTAAGGGGAAGGTCGATGGTCCGATTCCAGGTCGTGTCGAACCCCAAATGTCAAAACATGGTACTTGTTGTTACCAGCCTGGCACTTGGCATTGAGGAAGGACTGGTTGGCTTGAACGCCACGCCACGCCACGCAATGCCACGTGTGCGTTGCTAATGACTACGTGCATGTTCCTATATGCAAGGGGTCGGCATATGGTTCTTGGTAGGAGGTGACACAGTTGCACATCTCATGCAGGATGGCAGACAGTCAATGTACACTACCATGGGGATTACTAGTTGGGATTAGTTTCTTATGAATAACGCTGATGAAGTGATTCAAGGCATATACATGTCATGGCTACAGGGTAGGTAGCCTCTGTTCATTCAGACGAAGGTTGTCCCAAATTAGTCGCCATGACAGAATGATGACCTTCCATGACTATTTTTGAGGGCCTCCGTTCTACAAAGTGATCTGTGTGCTGTGATTGTCCTAAGTCTATGTGAAAGTATGGAAGTCAAGATCATCCTGCAGAGTGTGAGATGCCGTTCCCTCACTCACTCATTCAAACACTGGCATGCATAGTGCATGGATAATGATGACCTCCTTTGATGACCTGCTATGACCTGAGGTCACCATGCCCTGGGCACACTCCACATTCATTCAAATCTGAAACAGTTGAAATCCTCACTGAAGAAGAATTAACGTAAAATCTATATGTGAGCATTGCAATGTTACATAACTGTGTATACTGTCAGCCTGGGTCAATATTGCATCCTACGACGGACGAGCACCGTAACACATTGATTCTCCGGCTAAAGCC